AACAGATATTAATGTTTGCTCTGGTCTGTTTGTTTCTGGAATTTCTGATATAGTGATAGAAATAGGAAAATAAAGTCACAGCCATGCACTGTGAAAAAAACAAGCATAGAGGTCTGTACAGGTTCACTGTGAACACAACTCCTTTCTAAATCATGAGGTCATCAAAGAAAGTTTCCTAAACTATTGTTTTTCTGCAGCACTGGGGGATGACCCAGGGATTTGTGCATGCTAGTATATGCTCTACCACTGAGCTAGCACCAAAATTAACTCTTTTTTTGGTTTTTGTTTTGAGACAAGGTCTCCCTACGTATGCCAAACTGACTTCAAACTTGTGACCTTCCTGTCAGCCTACTTGTGTTGGGATTACAGGTGTACATCACCATACTGGGTCCCTAAGCTACATATTTTATTTATTTATTTATTTTTATTTTTATTTTTTGGGGGGGTCTGGTCGTGGGGCCTGAACTCTGGGCCTGGGCACTGTCCCTCAGCTCTTCAGCTCAAGACTAGCACTCTACCACTTGAGCTTATGTGGTGCTGAGGAATCGAACCCAGGGCCTCATGCATGCAAGGCAAGTGCTCTATCACTGAGCCACTTTCCCAGCCCTAAGCTAGATATTTTAAAGAAGGAGAAAGAGACAGAAAATTGAATAAAGAAACCAGAACAAGTGAAAAGGCCTATGTGTTGTACAACAGTGTGGCTCACCAGGAAGCTGTATTTCATTCAGTCTCCCTAGAGAGGGTCAAGAATGAAGGCCAGAATGAGAAGCCAAGGCAGGAATATCACTTGCGTTTTATTCTAGAAACCTATGCCTGTTCTTATCTGGTATGTAATGCCAACTACCTGTCAAACACTGCTCACAATGCCATACAAAACAGTGCTTTGATGCTGTGACAAATGTGAAGAAAATGACATGAAATGGTTAAATAATGTCTCCAAGGTCACACAGAGCTGGCTCTTACTACTTTGCCCCATAGCCTTTTGTCAGGAATTCAAAGTCATGGGACTTGTTAGCCCCCAGACAATGGCACTGAGACAAGGTTTCAGGAATGTGAGATATATTTGGCTGTATCAGGGTATATTGAAATTGAATTCTCTGATTTGGAGGAGAAAACCTGCTTGTAAGGCACACCCTCTCTTTTTGATCAAATTGTGTAATGAACTACTCTTTGGTACACTTGCGAGGGATAGGATGACTTGGCACAAGCTATTTTCTGACCTTCTGATCTTCTTTTCTTTCTCTTTCTTTCCTTCCTTTCTTTTTTTTCTTCTTCTTTTTTTTTTCTTTTTGTCATGGAGCTTGAACTCAGGGCCTGGGTGCTGTCCTTAAGCTCTTCAGCTCAAGGCTAATGCTCTACCACTTGAGCCACAGCACCACTTCTGGTTTTCTGGTGGTTAATTAGAGAAAAAAGTCTCACGGACTTTCCTGCCTTGGCTGGCTTTGAACCTTGATCCTCAGATCTCAGCCTCCTGAGTAGCTAGGATTACTAGCCTAAGCCACCAGCTCCTGGCCTGATGTTCTTTTCATATACCACCTGAGTGTGTTCAGTCATCAGATGTCCTCTTGGAATGTCCCCATTTGCTGGTTCTTGCTCATTCTTGACAAAGTCAGCTTAGGCATATCTGCTTTAGGAGACTTCCTTGTTCCTCTGGTTTGATTTAGAAAGGATGTCAGAACTCTCCTTTTCCAAACCCCACAATTGTCGATACAACACTGAGCTGTAATCTTGGATATGCCTCTCTTTGCATCCTCTAATTTAGACTGCAAATACCATGAAGATAAGGATACTGACTGCTTCCTCTGTCTCTTTCCTAAGAATACCCTGATTTTGAACTGCATGCAGTTCACATGACTCAAGGAAGACTCTTTCTCCTCAGGGAGCAGGCCTGATTGTAAGTTAAAGCTAGTGGTTCCCAACTAAGGTGAGTTTGCCACCCAGAGTGACATTTGGTACTGTCCAGACAGGTTTGGTTGTCACCCTGGGGCTGGTTACTGGCCTCCCATTGGCAGAGGCCACAATGCACAGTCCAGCCTCCTCCCTAACCCCTCCTAATTCATCAAAGACTCATTTCTTTCTAAGTGTCAACGTTGCTGAACATTGGAGACCTCCCAGTTCTGACCAACCTTTGAGTGACTTAAGCTTCCTGATTGAGGAGGCATGAACACCCACCTTAAGGAATCAATCCCACCCAAGTAAAGGATTAAGGTTGAGTGATTTAGGAAAGGTTGGGAAATTATACTGTGATGCTAAGTAGGATCTCAAGAGCAAGCTATAAAAGGAGTTTGGGAGATGGGTCTACTTCAGAATCTGCAGGATAGAGAGGGGAGGGGAAGGGCAGAGCAGTTAAGGAAAACCATGAAATAGCCATACTAGAGTTCTGAATGAGGTGACAGTTCCCTTTTTATTCTGAAGTGGTTGGCCTCATCCATTACACTTAGGCTGGGACCTTACATATGGTGTATTCATGTGCATATATTTGGGGGTAGAAATACAGAACTGAAGGGAGAAAGGGTGAAAAAGTGCAGTAGTGGAGTTCACTGGACACTGATAAAAATAAACTACACGACTCGTGGGTGGAGACGGGAGGGAGGGACTGGGAGAGAATGAGGGAACAGAAGACACTGTACTAAAGGAAATGTACTCATTACCTGACTCATGTCATTGTAAGCCTTCTGTACATCACCTTTATAAAACCAATAAAGTAAACAAAATAAAATAACTAAATACATGAAAATTTAAAAAAAGAGAATGGATAGCTGTATTATGATGGTTTCTGGAACACAACAAATGAACAAATCATGATTCTGAGGCAGTGTTAATCCTCAAAAAAATCTGCCACTTGAATGTCTATAGTTACAATGGAGAAAAGATAAAAATAATTCCCAATTTTTCCTGTGGTTTAGGAGAACAACTTAGGTAAAGGCCATCTCTCCTCCTCTTTTCCTTTCCCATTTTCCCTCTCTCTCTCTCTGAGTGTCTCTCTCTGTCTCTCTCTATATCTGTATTATGTCTGTTTCCTTGGAGAAGCAACTTTGGAACCAATGTTCCTGGGATAGATTTTGTACATCTTTGTTAGTGTCCCCTTGGATATCTTTCCCATGTGGACTTAGGTGTCCTGGCCTGGCCTCTTGGAGTGGTAGGCTAGAAAAGCAACCTCTGGGCCCTTCCCTCTCTCACACCCAACCTCCTCCTTACCCTTTCTTTCCAGCTCTTTCTGCAAACATTGACCCTGAGCCCTGAATGCATAAGGAAATTTGGCTGAATTTCACTTCTTCTCTTTATTTTCCAACTTAGTTCCCAGATAAATGGTGTTTCTTTTCCAGGAAAATGAAATTCAGAGAAGCTCCTCCTGTGTTCTGCAAACACCATACTCAGTAAAGTCCAAATATTAACGTGTTGCTATAGTGACATTGAGTGTTTGAAAGGTGGTCCACAGCTCTGTCATAAGCTTATAGAGAAGTTAATTTATGCTTCTAGAATTATGAGTGTGAACTATTGCTTTTTAAGATTTGCTGTTTCTGTGCCCAGGATGTTTGAATCTGAAAAAGAAGACATTCTGTAAACATGTCTAAAAATTGAGTTTTGTGAACTTTCTTTGTTATAATGGAGAGCATTGCATTCAGGAAGTGGGAAGGGGAACTAAAATGTAGATAGCCAAGTTAGAATTTAGGATCCTTTATATCTCATTCTTGGCAAAGCAATTTAATTAGGAAATAATTCTCCCCCCCTTAACATCTGACAGTTATCACCAAGTGATATCCCGCCTTCTTGGCACATGATCAGGGTGTTGCAAAATGTTGAGCTATTACACTTTTCTGAAAAAATTTGTCTTAAATTTTTTTTTAAGTCAGAAATGGCAAAGTGCTTTTTTTTTTTTTTAAGCAATCCACAATTAAAATAAAAAAAGTTTCAGAGGTGCAGAATGGGAAATACATTGAATCCTTTAGGGAAGAAGAAGAGAGCACGAGGTCACTGTCTTGGACTGTGTGTGTTTTACGTGCAGGTGTCCTGCGTGTGAGTGTGTCCCGGCACGCGTGTGTACCTTGCACGTGTGAATTATGTACGTGAGAGTACATTGTGTGTGTGTGTACGCACACGCGCGCGTGTGCATCACAGGCAGCCCCAGAACCTCTGGACCGGGTCTGCAGCCCCGGGCGCTTCGGGCCCTGGGCTTCCCCGAGGGCGGAAGGGGGCGCGCGTCCTCCGCTCCGGCTGCAGGGGCGGTGGGGGGCCGGCCGGGCCGGGAGCGGACGCGTGCGGCGCGCTCTTTGTGTGCCGTTCTGGGCCGCCGTGGGCACCATTTTCTGCTTCGCCCAGGACAGGCACATAAAAGGGAAGGCGGCTGCGGCCCGTCGCTGTCCTCTTTCCCTCAGATGCCCTCTGCTGCAGGTTTATGATTACAGTACGGACCGAGCCGCCTCTCCCCACGGTGCTGGCGGGCCGCCGGGTGTGCAGCGCCCTGGCCGCCTTCACTCCTGGCGCGCCCCCAAACCGCCTCCTCCGCCTCCTTATTTGTCTGAAAAGCAGCCGCACGTCGAGGCGTAGAAGCCGGCCGGGGCGTGGGAGGCTGGGCCGGGGTGTGTGCTCGCCGGGCTCCCCGGGCCGGGTCGGGCCGGGCCGG